TGAGTACACCAAGGCTAACAATCGATCATATCCTTTCTAAAAAAACAATCGATCATATATTCTTCCTAAGATTTAGAAAAATAAAAATAAAAATAAAATTTACCCTCACCCCCTCTTAAGTTTAGAAAGAATATATATATAATTAACTATTTTTTAAATAATTATATTGAACTTTATTTTATTAAAGTTATTGAAACTAATGTGGATGACAGGTAGATAATGAAATAAATAAATAAAGATGTATATTTCAATAGAAAAAATAGATGAAATGACAATTTCTTTTATTTATATAATTAAAAAATTATTGATAAAAACAGATCTAACTGTTTTATATGAAAAATAAAAATAAAAAAATCTTAAGTTATATTTAACCTGTCCAATCCCAGGATCATCCAAACATGATATTAGGATTCCATGAGCGATAATGATTCAGACCCCACAACCCCCACTCACTTGTGATTGGTCTAAATAAGAAAGAGAAAAAAAAAAAAACAATACAAACACATTGTTGGTCTACATCACTGTGGGGTGGTGGGAGCCTCCCCAAAAGGGGATCCTAAATATTTTCCTTCCATGAGATATTTGATCTAATTATTATATGAATTAAAATTTTTAAAAACTAATCAAATGGTGTGAAAACATAAAAATAAGGGAGCTTTTTTGATAAATCCATTTTCTAAGAGTTTTATTCCATCCAACCCATATTATTTTTGACTATTCCATTAGGTCCAATTTGAGATAAAATACCAAAATACCCTTTTCATCTACTTATGTTCCATTTAATTCACATTATTTTCTTATATTTCAATAAGTCCTATGGATGACATAATTACCAAAATACCCTTAATGTGAATGTTCACACCATCAATATAAATGTTTATATCGTCAATGTGTAGGGGCCCGGCTCATGTCGATCCTCGTGGGTGCCCGGAAAAATTCGAGTCGGGCCGGGCCGACCCACAAGCCAAAAAAATAGGCCCGACCCGGCCCGTTGATAATATGAATATTCACATTGACAAGTTAACATTCACATTGATAGGAGTGTAAAATTAATTAAACAAATAATATTTTTTAACAAATAAAAAAAATGAACAAATAGCAGATAAAAAAATTCACAGATAATTTTTTTTTATAGATTTTAGACAGATAGTAAGAGAAACTCACAGATTTTGAACAGATAGAGAGATAAATCCATACATTTTGAACAGATTGGGGAAAAAAAATTAACAGATACATATAAATTTGAACATATAGTCAAAAAAAAATTGAACAGATTGAAAATAATTTAAATAGATATAAATTTGAATAGATAGTCAAAAAAGTCAACAGATAAATTAAGCGGTAAAATTGAAAACAAAATGTCCTCCAAAACTAATAAGAATTTCTCATCAAACTATTTTATAAAAGGTGGACCTTTTATCAACAAAAAAAAATATCTACTAAATCTAATGCCTTGAACAGTTACTAGAGTAGACTTTTCAACAATTTTCTCTAAAAAATACTCCTTATGTTAAGGATTCGTTTGGAAAGTGGGTTGGCTTTTTGACTTTTTAACTATTTTAGCCTGGGGCTAAAAAGTCTCGTTTGGAAAGGACTTTTTGACTTTTTGACTTTTTT